TTGCATGTATCTGTAGTTTGCTTTTTACTACAGAGTAGTATTTTATTGTATGAATATACCACAGTGTGCTTATCTGTTTTCCTTTTTTTTCCCAGCTTCATTGAAATATTAATATAACATACCCATTTTCCCATTGATGGACACTTAGGCTGTTTCTGGTTTGGGGCTATTATGAATAAAGTTGCTATGAACATTCTTGAACAAATCTCTTTGTAAACATGTTTTCATTTTTTTTCGGACAGTAACTACATGTGGAATTACTGGGTCATAGAGTAGTTATATATTTAGTTTTATAAGAAATTGCCAGACTTTCCATTTCCACCAATGAGAACTTTAGTTGCCCCAGTTTTGTTGTGGTGAAAGTGTATATGTATTTATATGTATGTGTTTTCCTCACAAATCTTCATAAAGGCCTGTTTCGAAAATGTTTTAACATGTGCCATCTGGTACTTTTTAAGAAGCACATAGTTCAAAATCTCGCAAAGCTAACTCTGGCAAGATTTTAAATTTCTGTTGCACAGCACGTGGCTCAGTACTATTTGTGTGATGTAGTTGATGCTTCAATGAGCCTTTTTTCCCTTCTTTCTCTCTTGGCTATCAAGGCTTTGATAAAGTTCAAGAGTTATTTGTATTTTGAAGAAAAAGACTTTGTGGATAAAGCAGAGAAGAGCCTAAAGCAGACTCCCCATAGTGAGGTGAGTCACGATCACAAAAGTGTCAAAACTAGAAGATCTTGAAGACTGGGACCAACCCCCTAATTATAAAAGTGAGGAAAATGAGGCCCAAATGGGAATGAAGGGATTTTCTGCTAACACAGCTCGCAGCAGAGGAAGCCCACTCTCCGCCCACTGTGTTTGTGCTCTGTGATACCATGCTGCTGCTATTAGAGGCATGGCCAGGGATCTTTCAGGAACACTCTATAGAGAAAGGGTAGACATAGTGGTCTAATAAGGAATTCTATAAGTTATTAAGGATGCAAGTCAGAGATATTTATTCTTGGTACAGAGGGAGAAACGCTGGAATCGGAGAGGAGGGAACCTTGTCGTGTGACCCAGAGGCAGCCAGAGCTGTAATGGCTCATTCAGTGTCCTCTAGCACTTTCCCTTCGCTCTTTCCCAGGGTTGTTGGAAACATGTCTGCCCAAGGTTATAGCACAATCAGAGGGGCTGACACATCTGGACCAGCCACAGAGCAAAAATAGAAAGGAAAGGGAAGGAAGAAAGTTCTGAGCTGGAAACGTTTTTCCACTAAAATTCTGTGAAGCCACCTGAATCAGTAAGAGAAGCTAATGTGGGTAGAAATAAAAATAAAAAATAGGGTTCCAATTGTTTTAGGAAAAAAATAGTGAAAGGAAGCAATTAATAGATCTAAGGATGATACAGCCAGAAAATGCAGCAGGTCCTCGCATATCATTTGGTTGTAACATTGATGAGACGCTGTAGGAAAGTAACTCTTGTTTATATCAGGTAGCCTATGGTAACATTGGTTTTGATATATTTTGTTTCGCACAGTTCGAAGAACCTATGGACAATGTTAAGTGAGGACTTATTGTACAGCTAGGGGAAAGATAGGTCTTGCTGGGAAGAAGAGACAGATAAAATTACTTCAGAAAAGGTCCCTGAAGTCCATATATAGTGGTTAAGAGAGAATATACAGGGTAGTTTTGGGAGATAAAGGACAAAGAAAATGCGGATTCAGAGACTGACAGAATATCCTGAAATTTTCAAAGTAGAAATGCAAAAATGAGAACCTGATGCAAGGGAAGGGGACAAATAAATAAATTTAACCGGGTATAATTAGAAGAAATCAGTAGAAGATCAAACTACTTTTTATAAATACAATATAATAAATGATAGAAAGAAGAACTGTTTGGTATAAGGAGCTTAGGAATGCAGAAAGCAAATAAACCTGAAGACCAACTAAAATAGTGCATGTAAATATGCTCAGAAATCTGATTATATAAGCTATTACACAAACTATGCTATTCTTGGAATACATTATTACCAGTGTGGTGGCAGCACTTCTAAAGGGTTCTCCAAGTGAGTTCCTTTTTAGTTTGTTCTGTTTTTAAATTCTAAAGTAAAACCATGGTTTTTGTTTCAGATAATATTTTATAAAAATGGTGTCAATCAAGGTGTGGCTTACAAAGATATTTTTGAGGGGGTCTACTTTCCAGCCATCTCACTGTACAAGAGCTGCACGGTATGTGTCATGTTATCCTGTGAACAGAACTTGAGGGAAATAGGTGAATGGTTGTGATGAAGGGGCCAGTGATTGAGCTCTAAAAAGAAATCTGAATAGCCTGAGAGTATGATGGGAATGTCTTCTGTTACTCTTTGTTCGAAAACAGTTGGGTGTTTTAGGAAGTATTTGCTTGGACAAAGGTCGTGCAGTTAGTATGCTTCATATTTGTCCTTTAAATATACTGTGTGGTGAATGTTATTGTTCAATATAAAGGATATACAGTATATATGTACATAAACCAATTTGGTGTTGTATGTTATGGTAACCTACCACCATTAGTTTGTAACTGTTGTTTATATTTATTTTTTTTAAATACGATTCATCATGAAGGGGACTATTGTTAGAGCCTGTTAGGTTTTGTAAGTGATTTTGAACAGGTAATGCCTGGAAGTTTGTATGTATTTTTAGTCTGTTAATTAGCATCATGGAAGTTAAATAAGGAAATCTTCAGGTTATAAACAGAAATCAACACATATCTTTCATTTACCTAATTCTTGGTAGACATTAGGATGTTCACCACTTTTAGCAATATTAATATATATCATTAGTTCCAGTTATACCCTGAATAACACAGCTACTTTTAACGAGAAAAATTTCCCATGTTCCATAAACTTTTTCACTATATTATTCTTTTGTTTTTTTCATGTCTGCTTGAATTGAATTGATCCCAGGTTTCCATTAACTTTGGACCATGCTTCAAGTACCCTCCAAAAGATCTCACATACCACCCTGTGAGTAACATGAAAAAATGTCCACATGCGTCCTCAGCATCTTTACTTGCTGTAGTTGTTCTAATCCCCTCATTTCTGTTTCTGGTTCCTCCTACAGATGAGTGACATGGGCTGGGGCGCCGTCGTAGAACATACTCTGGCTGATGTCTTATATCATGTGGAAACGGAAGTGGATGGGAGGCGGAGTCCCCCATGGGAACCCTGACCAGTTCCCTCTTTCTTTGCAGACATGGACTTTCTGGGAATAGTATTGGAGGATTTTGTTTATTTCTTAACTGTTGCAAATGTTATCCCGAAGATACTGCAGAACACAGCCTTTGCTGTTAGCAAGTGAAAAGGCTGGGTGGGACTGGGGGAGACTCTCCGCCCTTCAGCGCTCCCCGCTTCTGGTGACTGCTTTTATTTGTATGCCATATGCCAACAACTGCTGACCGTAGGATCCCATAAGCTCCCTGTGAAACCGGTGCTGTACCTTGTACCCCACCACTGGGACTTGTTATCTTACTGTATTTTCTAAGGATTGGATAATGTTGTCCAAGTAGCTAATTTTAAATTATTTAAAGACTTTTTTTTCCCTGTGGGCATTGACTCCATCCCACCTGATTTCCAAGGAAGTGGTGGGCCTGTTTCTGAGAACAGCTGAAATCAATGGCTGTACATTCCAGACAACCTAAGAGCTCTTTCCTTGTGGTGTGGGATTGCTTTTGTTATTAAGTTTGAAATATACTTTTGAACACTGGGATCTCTGAAACTACTAGGTCTCTAGAACTATAATTTTGAAAGGATCTTGCTTGCAGCTTTAACAATTAGAAACTTCCCAAATAAAACTTGTGTTCAAGTGTATGTGGCACGTTGCTTCCCTTTCAGGTTGGGTTCCTCTTGGTGACAGTGTCAGAAATGTGGGCAGTCTGAGGAAGGGAAGCCAGCATTGGAGGAAAGAGACAGGTTTCTGACTCATATCTCAAGCCCTCTCCTGTCGCTTGCCTTCTCTCCCGCCGACTCAACCACCCACTTCTATCCTGTGAAAACCAGACTCGAGGTGAACAAGAGGATAGGATTAATAGCCTCACTGTAATTCTTCTCTGTGAACATGGATGGTAATATGTGCAAGTTGTTTTCCTGTCTTATCTTCCTTTGTAATAGCAGATGATTAAAGGGAAGTTTTCAGAATACCAAAAACTAGAATGTAAGAATGAACCTTTCCTTGGGGTCCCTTTGTGGCTTCCCTAGCTCCCTTTTTAATACATCAGTGGCAGTGCAGCCCTCCCAGGATGGCTCCAAAGACTCCCCTACCTATGGCTTTCTACCTAGGTTAATAAGTAGATTGGTTCACCACAAGGTAGGTAATATGTTGCCAAGAAACACCATATATTATGCCCGTTTAAGAAATTTCCTAAATTTCAAGTGTCTATAGGTACCCTAACACAGTAGCTTTGACTAATATATTGGGTTGTCGGAAAAGTCATGATGCATTTTTGCAACGGAAAACAGAAAAAATATGTCATGACTTGTCCGACAACCCAATAGTTGCCTCGTAACAAATCACCGAGGCTCTTTGCTTTGGCCATTCCACGTCTCTTTAACAGGAAACCTAACACTGAATCAGTATGATTGTAGGTTGGAGTCTCAGCCTGTCACCTCGTGGACACCTGTTCGTTTGTGGCTGGTCTTAAAGGGCAGACTTGGTTATAAAGGTGGATCATCAGAGTTTGGAGAACTCGAAGAAGATGAGGGTGATGTAATTTAGAGGAAGCTGGAGGTGAATTCTTTAATATAAATTACCACATAATTAGATAAAATATAAATTATGAAATATAAAAATATTACCTATATACCCACTCTCCATTTAAATGATAAAATTCGTTTTTTGTACACTTTCATAAGGTTACAGAAATAATGATTTCGCCTTTTTATACTTCATGTTCTGTGTGTGTGTGTGTGTGTGTGTGTGTGTGTGTTTCATTTGAAGGGCTCAAAATGCCTACTCTTCATGTAGTCCTATATAAAATGGTTTCTGTAAACAGATCATCACAACTTATTTTATTCCATTGTAAAATGAAACAAGTGGGAGAATATCTCCCCAGTCATCTCAAAGACACAGTTGCATAGTTTAAAGAAGGCAAATTACAATTGAGCTCAAAACGGTGGTGTGTGTTGAAAGCCCATTTCTTTACTATCACCCTGTTCTCTTTTAAAACCAGAATATATATTGCTTTACACATCTTTAAACAAGTAACCATTTTTTCATAGCTGGGAGTAGATAATAATTCTGTTCTAGAAATATTTCTACAAATATCCCTTCTCACTCTGAAGCTCCTTGATAGATAAGCAATAATTTTATCTTTGCCAAAAATAGAGTACTGTAAGAAACAATCTGAATAAATAATAATAAATATCTCTATCAGTTGTAAAATTTCGATATCTCAATAAATACCAGCATTCCTACTACTGCTAATTTGTTTAATAAATAAGGTAAAGCTCTATTTCCAAATGGTATAAATCATCAATGCTATTAGCACTAGAATGGAAAAGCTTCAAGTGGTAGTGGTTGGTTTTTCATCTTATGGATACATTTTAGCAAAATAATGCCATCCTGATTTATGTTTTAAAAGCATAAATTCTTTGAACCTCAGAAAGGAAATTCACTGTCACCATATTACCCCTTCTTCCAGCCATCTTCTCTCAAAATAGTAAAATATTGACCTATGAAAGCAGAGGAATTGGCAGCCCTGAGCCAGGCTGAGAGCTGATAGACTCTGATCTAAAGATGCAGTTACCATTTTAGGTCTAAACAATCACTAATGGGAAAATAATAAAATTTATTTTCAACTTTATCCTTTATCATTCATTCACTCATATTTGGCACTATCCCTTCTTTTAATTAGGTAAATAAAAATCCTCAATCTTCATCTTCCAGTGCCCTTTAATCAGCTATCAATTATAGAGTTAAGAGCTGATTTAGGCTTGTGCTTATCGTGGAAATTAAATTTTTATGAAAGGTTTTGGTGACAGATTCTAAATAATTGAATGACATAGGTCCCCAGTAGTTTTTCCTGTTAATGAGCTAAGGGATTCAATTTAAAATTTTGGGCCAGGACTCCTTTAGTATGAAGTTGCAATTAACTCAGATTTCTTAAGAGTAGAATTTTAAAACAGGTACAGACTGAAGCTTTTGTATTAGTTATGATTCTTTATTCTGACTGGTGCTCATGGGACAAGTAAGGGAACCAGTCTAATCATTTTGTATTTTTTCATCAAGAAAACGGACTAGGTTTGGAAGGCACCTGCTATGGGGAGTTGCCTGTGCTTGGGTGTAGCTCCCTGCTTGCTTGAGCAGAGCATGGTTGGAGCCCCTCTTACTGTAAGACCCTGCTATGTCCACACACTGCCTGCAGGGAATGGCGCTCTAGAGCCCATACGGTGTGAGGTCCCCATCCGTGTATTTAGCACCCTCTGCACCCTCTCTCAGCTAGTAGCATTTTAAGATGTTTTTAAGTAGATAAGTAAGGTCCCAGAGAAAAGTTTTAAAAATATTTTGGGACCCTTAACCTTCATTTTACAGCTAATCAGTGAATGAAGTTAGAAGGCTTTCTTTAAGAGCCTCTTCCCTAATCACTTGGTACTAAAATTTTACCAATCTGAGGCCTAGTATTAAACTAAGTACACTGCCAACCCATCCCACTGTCCCCAGATGATCTCAGACAGACTTGCAGGCTTCTGGGAGGGATTGTCCTGATGAGCATGCAAGCCAATGCAGCCAGAACAGGTGGGAGCAGCAGGCTGGCCTTTAACAGCTGGCTTCAGGGGCAGAGCTGGAATCCAGGCGCTTGCGCAGATGGTTGGCAAAGTCCACCTGGGTCTGTGATAGGACCTGGTTGATGATAGTCTTTGGCAGCCATCCCTAGAGTAGAATGGAGAAGAATTTGGCCATTTTGTGGCTGATGTTCCACTCTAGACACCTCTGCACTCTATCACAAACATGGGTTGGCTGGGGCTTGGTCTGCTAGCTGTATTTATAGGCACAACCTTGTGGCTGAGCAGGGTCATGGGTTGGAGGACTGCATTGCTGCCCTCTCGTCATGACGGAGTCGGAAGCACAGGACTTACTGTTAGGACAAATTTCAGCCCTGTCTTCCCAGCAGCGTGACCCTAAGCTAATTAGCATACCTTTCTGGGCCTAACTACAGAGTGGAAATTTGAAATTTGATATGAGAGGTAAGAGGGAGCCATTGCAGGCTTTTGAGATGGTGGAATGTCAATTAAGCCATTACTCAAGCCTCTTACCTCTGAACAGTCTGATTCTCTCAGCACGGAAGAGGATTTTTCCTGTTCCATGTGGGATAATGGAGAGGGTAAGAACCTATTTTTCTCTCACCACCTTCCCACTGAGCCACCTCCCGTGCCCCTCACCTTGAGGTCAATGCTGAGCAGCCAAGTCAGTTTGGTCTTTGAAGGACTTCCAGCCAGAGGATGGAGCACCATGCAAGTGGGACCGTGCTCAGCTCTGGCAAATGAAGAGAAGTCAAGTCAGAAGGACAATTCCAAGTTCTCTTTTATGCTGACTCATACTAGCCACATTTCTTGAGTGCCTTGTCCTTCCAAATCTCATTAGAGTAGTATCCTTTGCAAAGGGTGATATTTAACAGTTGGCATGGTTTCCAGGTCATCAGAACAAATGCTGATTAGAGCTGGAGCTGGAACCTGGAGGCCTCCTGTTGTGCCTTTTAGTTGTGGGATGACAGGTTGGGGAAAGGGTCCGGGATGCTGGCTGGAGCCCCTGGGGAACTCAGGTAACAGCTGTGTTCTAAGTGGTGTGGATTAAATTTTAATCAGTATCGTCATACCTGATGATATCAGCTAAACCTCAGCCCTACCTCTTGCTTTAAAAAATTATTAAGATTCTTAAACTTCCTGGGAGGCTCGGGACAATAAGTAGGGCCAATCTTGTCTTTCCTGCTTTGAAAAATGAGAACCTTCCTTGTAAAGGGGAGCTGAGGGTAGAGACCAAGGATTGGTTTTTTGGAGCTGGGGATTTATCACACATTTGGTCCACAGGCCTGTGTTAGGAAAGGGAGCTTTGGAGCCTGCTGCCAGAATTACCTGATGACACCTTTCTGCTCTGGCACCTCCCCGAAATGTGTAGCCATGCCAGCCAACACACAGGTGGAGCCTCGGCGCTTGGCACAGCGCACACTCACAAAGTCACGGGGCCCCACAAGGTTTCCTGCTGATTCTGCAGCCAGCTCATGGGTGATCACTGTGTCTTTTCCAATCTTCTGCAAGACCTACCAGACCACAGGGAACCAGAATCACTACATAGCTAGTGCTGGCGGTAAGGCAACACCCACAGCTTTGGCCACCTTCCAGACTGGGCTCTCATGGGTCGTTGCCGTCCACACCTGGACTCTCCTCACCTTGATCTCCTTGACATTCGGGTTCCACTCTCCCATTGCCTCCATACGTTCCACAAGCTCTTCATAAAGCCTCTCCATGGGCTGGTCCAGCACCACCTCCAGCCGGAATACCTTGCCCACGTCTGGGACCACTTTACTCAGCACTTTGTCCCCATTGACCTGGCAGGGAGAAAGGAGCCCCGGGATAGAGGTTAGAGAAAACTATTCTAGCCTAGTGCACGTAGACAATGCCAGGCAAGGCGGGAAGCAGAACAGCAAAAAGAACTCTAAGCTGAATATTAAGAAGCCTGAAACTATTTCTGGTTAAGGTGGAGTAGGTGTTCTTTCCTGCCACAAGCCTTGTGCATCTGCTGAAGACTTGAGAGGTGACCTGCCTGCTCCCTGGGCCTGTTTTCTTGGTGGTAAATGTTGATGGGCACGGGCAGATCCAGCTGAAAAGAACCTTACTTCCAAAGCTCCAACATCCTGAGAGACAAACCTGGGAGTGGGAAAAGTCCGGCCTACACCCAACTACATACATAGAATGTTGGATGGGATCTTAAAGATTTTTTTAGTCCAGTACCTCATTTCACCCATGGAAGAGAGAGAGCCAGAGGTCAGTGATATGCCCAGAGGCTCTTAGATAAGAGCAGTGCTGGGTCTAAGTCCCAGATTTGTTGACTCCCAAACTAGTAGTAGTAGTCTGTTACCTCTGAGAACTTGGAGAGGTTTTACCCAAACTTGGGGCAATGGGCAGCATGTAAGCTTTTGGTGAAGATAAAACCATCAGTCTCACTAGAGCCACTGGCCTTTAACACGCGCCTTGTTAACTGGCTCCAAGTGAAGGTGCAGTGCTCACGAGCAGAGTCCAGAAGGCGTGGGCCATCTGTGTTTCAGTGCAGCCCTGTTGCAGCTGAGCGCAGGTCGCCTGTGCAAGCTGAGCCATAAGGCAAGCTGAACGGCACAGACACTGTGCCTTGTCACCAGAACTTCTGGCCCAGGACGATGAGGCCTCAAATGCAGACAGACCATTGCATGGTCTCTGCTGAATAGGTGTACAGTGTGTTTGGAGGTAGGTCAGGATACAGGAACAATGTACGTTTCTCAAATGCGAGCCTCCAGGATGTCTGATGGGAGAAGGGTGTACCTGAGGATATATTTTTGCGAAAGGAGAATTCTCAACTTAAAACTACTTGTTGTGCGGTGACTACTGCACAAAGCAAGAATTCCGAGGAGAGCAGAGACCCCCAGCTGGCCTTGAGGATGGCAATGCGATAGGCAGGAACTCCATTCCTCCCCCCCTTACCTGCTCGTTCTCCTTCTTCCAGCCATCCTGGCTGCTGAGGATACCCAGGGCCTTCTGCATCGCCTCCTCTCCCTGCTGGATATAGGCCAGTTCCTGGTCGCTGTAGAGAGTGTCTTCGAGCCGAGAACCTGGATACACAGCCAAGGACACACCAAGCTTCCTACCAGTCCCCTAGCCTCCCACCAGCTACATCCCTTTGATCCCTGGATCTGCTCTTCTCTGAAGAGCCAAGACCTAAGCCATAGGATTCAGCCTGCAGGTCAAGTTAGACATACACAGCAGCTTCAGGTGTCAGGGAGAGGATCTGGCAGTGAGAAACTCCATTCCCATCATCTTAAAGTGACTAAGAAAGGCTGGGGGTGGTGCGTGGGGGGAACCAGAGCCACATGTACAATGTTTGCACCCTGGGAGCCTCCCGCCACTGGCAGAAGCCCAGAAACCTCAGCACTTACCAAGCAGAGAGCTCCGGCGCCGGACCTGGTTAATCCATGCACTAGGGGTAGGGCCCCCCAGTGCCCTCCGGTTCAGCTCCTGGCCAATGGCCAGCACAGCTTGGTGCCTCAGACCTGCAGGGAGGGAAGGAAACTTGCCTAGGACGGGGAAAGTGCCTTCCACTCCTTCATCTTGTCACAGAAGAGGAAACTGGCTTGGAGAGGGAAGTGACTCGATCAGGAACACATTCCTAGTAGGCAACTGAACTACAGCCAGGCCAACTCACAGTCCAGTGCTCGTTACACTGCACCAGGCTGTCTGTCTCCAGGGCCCAGAAATCTGCCTGCCACCTGAGCTGGCCAGGCCTGGTCCTGCCTGGAGGCAGGGGCCACACCAGAGTTTCCTTCTTGAACAGGAGAGAAGTTTTGTTCAAACAACCAGAAAAATTCTGCTACACAAGGAGAATTAAAGACGCCCATCTCCTAAGGTCTGTAGCTGTCAGCAGCTGGGGTCTTTGCTCTTCTGCTATCTTACTTCCCTTTCTTTTTCTTCTCCCCATCTTTTCCCTGCCCATGTCTCAGGCTTGCCAACAGGGCTTGTTGGCGTCAAGGCTTGCTCCTACCTCTACCACTGTGGCTAGGACTTTCTTGGTACCCTTGGTACCGATCCTAGAGGAAGGCTGAGTCAGGAAGAGTTCAAAGAAGATTGGAGCCCTGGTGGGGAGACCAGAATCCGGAAGAGACATAGACACCTTGGTATCCAGCCCAATTGTTCAGGTGGGAAAATTGAGGTCCAGAAGGGACAAGACTTGGCACAAACTCACCCACGAAGAGACAGAACCTGAGTGGCTTGCCCCCAGTTCAGTACTTTCTCCAATAAACTACATGCCTGAGAGCTCTTGGTCAACACCCTCAACACCCTCTCCCCCAGGGAACTCACCCTTCATGTTGCGCACATGTCTGTAAGAGCTCCCAGCACACAGCTTAAACGTTGCTAGGAGCATGGTTTCCTGGCGGCTGGTAGCGGTGCTGTTGCTGCTGCTGCTGCTGCTAGTGCCTCTGCTCTCAAGGGTGGCTTCTGTCCTTCCTGAGCCTGTCAAGGTCTGCCTCGGTCCTGCAGCTGTGGCGGGGACTGTGTGTTCCTCGTCTTAAATGCCTCCAGCCGAAGGCCGTGCTTCATCACCGGAGATAACAAAAGCCGTCATTCACTGTGCAAAGGAAGGGGTCAAGGATAGAGGGATTGCCTCACACCACTGCTTTGGCCATTTGTGGAGTTCAGGGGGATGGGGTGGGGGGGAGGAATGCACAGAAAGGAGTAAGAAGGTTAGTGCCAGATTCAGTGGATGGAGGGGAATAGGGAAAAAAAAAATTAGCTGAGGTAAAAGCAGTTTAGAAGAAAGCATACACCATCCGACAGTGTTTCTCAAATAACTTGTGGGGTACTGTTTAAACTACAGATTTCTAGCCCTCATTCTCAGAAACTCCAGATTTAATAGGTCTTGAATGGAGGTTCTGAAACCTGCATTTAAAAAAAATCCTAGCTGATTGCCATGTAGGTGTTATATGAACCCCCTGTGCTTTGGGAAACTGCCTGTCAGAGTGCCCAGATGTCTGCAAAGAGAACTTAGTGGGTCAGAGCTGGTAGAGGCCATCCAGCCCCTGCATGAGGAACCTGAAGTCCAAAGAATGCAAGTGACTTATTCAAAGTCAAACAGCTGGTCAGTGGCAGGGCTGGGACAATAACAAGTCCTCTGACCTTCAGTCCCTCTTTACACAGTCCCTTTGGCAGCCCCCAGACACTTTGTGTGTTCCAGTGTTCAATTTTTATATAAACAACTATTTATGTAAGTAACTTTATCAAAAACCTAGTCAGCGTTCGTTCCCTTGAGGGTTTGTGCTGGAGCAAGGATGATACCTCAGGGCTGAGTCCTATAAGCTCACAAGCAGAGCAGAGGACCGGCCGGAGACACAAGGAGAGGGGACCTGGGCCTGGCCGTGCCTTGCACCCTTCTTTACACTTCCCCCAAGTACCCAGGCTCGGCAGCCTGCACCAGAGGGCTTGGCATGAGCTGAAAGGTTGAAAGAACAGGGTACTTGGGTGCTCATCTCAGTCTTTGCATTTTGGGGGCCCTGTGCTCTAAATTAGGGACCCATGAGGCAGCTGAGTCTCCTCTGCAGTTCCCACACACCATCTTAGGCCCAGTGAGGGAGATCCCCTCCCAGCCTGCATGCTGGTCTCTGATGACATCCTTCCCCTTTAAGGTTGACCTTGAGGTTGCTTTTAAGCCGGATTCACCTGGCAACAATGTTGGGGGTTGAGAGAATCCCACGGATTTGCCTCTGGCTCAGGGCCTGCGTCTTGTGTGAGAATTTTGTGTCCTGTCACCACTGCCCAGAAGCAGAGGGAAGACCTAAAAAGTGGGGAGCAATAGCAGGTCCCCACTGGCTCCCACTGGCTCCCTTACTCCAGAATGGATGAAAGGGACAGGCCCGGCTCAGAACCAGGCCTGGTGCCTAGAGTCCACACCCATCTCAACCCCTGGTGAAGGAGTGGGACGGGTCCAGCTACTGAGTGGCCCTCGTTCTCTCCAACCAATGGCTGCCTAGAGGCTCCTGGCCTATTCCTCAAGGCCCGCTGTCGGCCCCCTCCTCTGTGAAGCCTTCCGTGACCACCCCAATCTTCTGAAATGGCTTGTTCCTTTGACTCACACCCTTAATGTCGGTACCACAGAGGGGCACATCTCCAGTCTCGATTTGTGTAATGGCTTTTGTGTGCTTGTTTGTCTCTCCTGTGGGACGGTTTGTCCCCGAGGCAGGCACCTTGTCCACCCCATGCCACCCCCAGCACTCAATTCCAGGAAAGGCACAGAGCAGGTTCTTGCTCCTTCTCTATTAGGTGACCAATTGGGGAAGCAACTGGGGACACAAGTATGTCTTTTGAATTAGGAAACCTGCCTGTTGGCTTTGATTTCAGCCCTCGAAGAGCCCCAAAGGAAGAGGCCTTGGCCTGTTTATTGTGTGGAAGCCAAGCCAGTGGGGGTGGGCTTTGCCTTTCGTAGACTCGGAAAGAGGAGGTGCAGGTGGTGTGCTGGATGGTTGTCCTCCCTTCTTGGTACACGTGCGTCCTCATGCACGTGTGCCCCAGTGGCGGTGGCGGGGAGTGGGGAGGGAGTCGTTCTGGGACAGGCCATGCAGATAACATTCAAGGCCCTGCTGTTGCCATCCTGTGGTGAATTATGGCCATTGTGAGGGGAGGAGGTGGTGTGGGGAGACTGGAGGACTGAGGCATACGCCGTTGCTGATGTCAGAGGCTGCCATTGACTCAGGGAGAGGGTGCTGGTGACCTCCCCCAGGGCCAAGGCTTTCTTCTCTTCCTCATCCTTTCCAGTCTGAATGACTAGTTAACTCTTATTGTCCCCCTAAGCAGTAAGGTGGGGAGAGGTCTGGGAATTTCCTCTGATTCTGGACGTCATCTGTATCTGGCTTTGCTTTTTGATGAGGGCAGAGTCCCCCAAGGAGATCAGTTGGACACAGCTAGTCAAGAAGATAACCAGCGATCTGGCTCAAGCTATGCAGAGTGTTGAAGAGGAAGGCCCCAGGGCAGGGCAGGGAGGCAGGCTGGGCTTTGGAGCAGAAAAGAGGACTCCACTCATTCATTCAACAATCCTTTGAGTGTCCACGGTGTAGATCTACAATTACGAGAAAAATGAACCATATGACCCAGTATGGAGTTGTAGAGCAGATGTGTTTTGGAAGAACAAGAGAATGGAAAACCTAATTACACAGGGAGAGGGAGTATTACGGAAGGCTTCTGGGAAGAAGTGACATTAGAGCTGAGGTGGAAAGTACAATGAGTTAGCCAGGTTTGAGCTAGAGAGAGGATGGGGTGCAGGTGGTTCCAGGTAGAGCAAATGGCCAGCAGCATGGGGACAGGATCTAAGGGTTGAGAGCTGGCTGCCTTGGGGAACTTTGGTAGTTCAGCCATGCAATGTTTGTAGGGTGTGGTAGGAAGGTTGCTCTGCAAATGCCTAGCAGGCAGAGGCTGAGAGTTGAGGAGAGGGGCCTTGAGTTTGCCTGGGCCCCAGCTCAGAGGAGGCGAGCACTGGGCAACACCACCTACTTTTGTGTTTACTGGACTGGTAGTGGGGACGCTGTGAACTGAAGTGGAGAAAGCATAGGTTTTATATTCAAAGAAACTTCCAATCAGGGGTGGGAGGGCAGTAGATGGGGGAGGGGGGTTGTTTCTTTTGCGGGGTGAAAAGGATAACTAGTGCATTGTTCTGTACACCTGAAACTAATAAAAACAACAACAACAAAAACCTTCCAACCCTGGTTTCACCACTTGCTTTATGATTGTGAGCCACTCACTTCCTCCGTCTCAACTTCCTAATCTGAAAAATAGGGATATATTTTTTCTTTTTCTTTTTGTAATCCTTTCAGGGTGGTTATATGACTTAAATGAGGTAGCAATACATCAAGAGCCCATAAGATGAAGTCCAGACTCTCAACTCAATCTCTGGGCCCTCCAAATTCTCACCCTAGCTTTCTTCTCCAGCAATGCTCAGCTTAGTCCTGAGACGCCTGCATGCAATCTGCCCCATACAGACCTTATCCATGTTCAAGGCAGCTCACGGTATTATCTTTCCTCAAAGGCTCCCCTTTGGGCCCCACTCACCCTACTCTTTAATTAGAATTCAGGACTTTCCCCTTTGGGGCCCCTTGATAAATATTTGTGACAGTATCAGTAAGACTATTGCTAATCCTCCCCTCTCCCCCCAGACACTTTGAAAATATTTTATTTTTTTAGAGCAGTTTTAGGTCAGCAAAATTGAGTTAAGTTACAGAGGTTTCCCTATCTGCCTCCCCGACAGGTCCCCCTTTTTTATATATCTGTACACTCCATAAAGACTTGGATATTTTCCAAGCTTTTGAATTCCCAGCATTTAGCACAGTGCTATATAATGAATAGATACTGAATAATTGTTTAATAAATGATTGGAAAGCACATAACCTGGCGCTTTGTAGATTCTCAGTAAATATTGACTCTCTTCCATCTCTTAAGGGTGGCCAGCCTGGAGGTGAGGGCAAACCTTGGGCTGCTTATAGGGTATATTCTTATTTAATATTGAAAGAATGAACTGTTTTCCTCCAAAGGGGCCATTGTGAGAAGGTAGCAGAAAGACAAGTTTGACTCATTGGGTTGGAGGTAATTACGGATTACCTCCCTTTCGAGTCCATTTTATGTAACCCAGCACTTAATTCCTTAATCTGAGTTGGTCACCATTATTTCACAGATATCATTCTTATTTATACAAAGGTGACTGTAAGTGCAAGTTCCTGGAGGGTACGGAATCTATCTCAGGAATCCGGCACAGCTTTGGGGATTCAGGAGATTTATTATAATAGTTGACACTGAGAACTCCTCCTGTGCCAGGCACTGCTCTATGTGTAAACTCTTCACACACACTAGCTTGCTGAATTCTCACAACTACTGCCCAAGGACTTGGTGCAATTATTACCCTTATTTTATAGATGAGGAACTTGAGGCACTGAAAGGTAAGCAGCTTGACTAAGCTCAGAGAGTTATTAAGAAACCAGGGTGCAGAATCAGGCAGTCTAGTCTGTGCTCTTGGTTATACAACTTAACTTTAAAAATCTCATTGCTCTCTGAAAAAAATGGAGCCAATAGTTGCCTCATAGCATATGCTTGGCATAGAGTAGTTGCTCAATAAGTTTTAGGGTGATGAATGACTCTCAACTATTAGATTTTACTTGGTTCCCTGGTTTGCCCTTCACCAGCCATTTTCAGCAGGTGAGCCAGGCTTTAGGTTTCCTTGCCCAGGGAGTTTGGCCAGGAACATAAGTTTCCTGTCTTTTCTAATAGGCTAAGCCCAGAAGAGCAACCTGAGGGCAGGTGGGCTGAATTTCACCTTCCAGACGTTTTATTTGACCTGCACACTATGTTAAGAAAAAATTGAATTAGTTGCCAATGTAAACTATAGGGACAGAAAACAGATCAGTGGTTGCCAGGGGCTAGGGAAGGAGGGAGAAATACCAAGGGGCACGGGTGATGATCTATAACTATATGCAGTTGTTGAAACTCAGAGCCGCACACTAAAGAGCGGTTTACTGGGTGTAAATTATATGTCAATCAAGTGGGTCTTTGAGGTGGATACTCAGGCAATCTGGGTTCCTGAGCTTGAGATACGCCCAGCATTGAGTTCTCTCTTGCTATAAGTCCTAGCTATTAGTTAGCTGATGCCCCAACACCACCCAATTCTCTGTATTTCCAGAGTGGCAGCACTGGAGCCCATTTTTTAACCCTGGGTCTAGTCAAGTGGCAGCAACAGCTACTGAGTGGCTGGAGTTAGGGGAAAAATTTTGTTTTAAAAAGAAATTGGGTAGAAAATAGGAGACAGAGAGGGAAAAAAAGAGGCAAAACAGTGAAGTGAGACAGGAGAAAAGGAGGACCTGATTTTAGTCTTTGCTTCCAAGTGCCCTGGCACAACCTGAGGAGTAGACAGGCAGGCGAGTCCTAACTACTGCAGACCTGCTCAGAGTGAGACAGGCGAGCAGCAGGTAGGCTCCATTTCCTGGGGCTGGTGTTCTCATTCTTTCAGGGTAGATGTTGGGAGGGGATAGGAAAATTTACTTTTGATCTTGGGTACTTATCTGGATACCAGCCCTGTAAAAGCAAGCACCCAGGAAGCAGTCTCTTGCTCTCTTTATCCAGGGGACCCCTTGAAGAGGTGATATGAAGATGAGGGTGGGCACTGCAGCCCAGTTCTACCTGGAGGACAGTGGAGAGCAAAAGAGGGATTAAAGTACCTGCTTACTTCCATCAATCCTGACAAGTCGTCCCCCACTCCTGATCCCATGTTCCCCTGGGATGCTCTTCCAGACATTTTGACAGTATCTCCAATCTCTTCCCACCTGCAGGGCCGCGGCCTTCTGCCGACAGAATATCTCCATATTCACTGTAAGGACCTCTACATTACTTAACTCCCGGTTGCTCAGTGGGTCCAGCTGTCCTCATCTTTTGGTGCCTTACAGGTCTCTGAAACCTGACTTCACTGCATGCTGCCATCCATCCATCCATCCATCCATCCATCCATCCATCCATCCATCCATCCATCCATCCATCTATCGTTTGAGACCTAATACATGCCAGACATCATTCTAGATGTGGGAATACAGGATTGAACATGACAGGCAAAAATACTGTCCTTACTTAATGGTTTACCTTCTAGTGGAGGAGTGGGGCACACAGTTAACAAGTAAAATTGTCAGATTGTGATACTTGCTATGGTGAAAAATAAAGCTGGAAAGGAAATAAATAGGGGAAGGGAGAGGAGTGCTAGTTAAAAGTAGTCAGGGAAGGTTAAATTTGAGCAAAGATCTGAAGATTGTGAGGGAAGGACTCTGCAGCTATCTGGGGCAAGTTTATTCTAAGCATGAACAGCAAATTCTAGCCCCATCCAGAGCACAGGTGATTTTCAGGGGTTGAAGTGACAGATGGAAAATGGGCATGTATTTGTCTTTCTAACTGCAATAAGCATATAAAAATTTATTATAAACTAAGGCAATTTTCCAAATGTTTCTGGTAATTACCCACAATAGTAAATATGTTTTATATTGTCAATATTTGTATTCATGTATATAACAAGTTTTACACACCATCTAATTTTATTACATGTAATGAACTCTATTTTCTAATTTTTTTTAAATGCTGGTTATAATCCACTAAATTCTTATCGAGACCTAGTAGGTTGCAACCCAGGTTTAAACTAGGTTGATCATGTTTAGTCTCATTGGCCAAAATCTTACCTCTCCTGGATTTAACATAGTCCTAAGAGCTGTCATCTACTTTAGGAGTCCTTGCACTGGGAGAACACATGTGCTTGTGAGCTGTATCATAGATGACATTCCTACTCAGCTCACATTAACTCCAAGGTGACAGCTCAGTCTAGAATTTCCTGCTACTCTGTCCTTGATCATGAGCAGGGTTGGTTCAGCATTAGAGCATCAGCCTGCAACATCTACAACCAAAATGCCCTCTTTATACCTCACTGGGAACGCTGACTCTTGATGGGAAAGGAAGTTGGATGGAATGTACATATACACATACATACATACATAAACTGGGGGGAGCCAAAAAAAAAATGTAACAAGTGGACACTTTGGTCAACATTGCTCAAGCAGTTCATCATAATCAGAAGTGTCTGGACACTGATGGTAAACACTTTGAGCACCTCTTGTAATTGCAGAAGTCAAATGTAACTTGTATTCATCTATCGGTATGTATTATTACAATTTTAATTGTTTTTTTCCTTTCTTAGAATGAGTATATATTTTTTTGTCACCCTCTGTATGTGTACATACATATCTGTATACATACTTATGTATAATTTTTCTGGGGGTAGGGAACTGTTCATTAACTGCCTCTCCTCAAATACTTTCTTGCCAGGTACAATTTCTGGGATCCACTTCTTGAGGTGTGCAGTGCCTCCATGAACGTCATATACAGATCTGAAACTAGAGCTTGGGAACTGCCCATAGTAACTGCCTGGTGAGCCTGCTTTGCCTGCTGGCCCACATCCTCTGCAGCCTGCATTGCCCTCTTCCGGATCCTGCCAACCAACACTCATGTGAGCAAAATGAGACCATTTTCCAGCCTTCTTCACCTCTGTGGAGTATCCCTGGGGTTCACTTCTCTGAGAAACCCTCCACAAGGGACCATGTAAGGGTATCTGATTGTCATAAGTATCCAGGGCCTGTTGGGAGTTTATCAGAGTTGGGATGGGGAGCAGATTCTGTGGGTTAAAACTTAGCTAAAAGCATGTAAAGTAAGGTCAAGGGAAAAAGACCAGCTGGAAGAGTAAGAGATATGCTGCTGTACTCAACTGTATCAGAATAAAGATGGCCAGGGGGGCTTCAGTAGATTTTCCTATTTGTCTCCCTTGAAAGCAGTGTCAGGGGAACCCCTATTGGAAGAGACGAGTAAAGAAAAAGAAAGGTATGAACAGAGATTGATTTTGAAATCTAATAGTAGAAGAGAATACTAGCAATGGTCCAGGAAAAAGTATGATTTCAGTATCTGCTGGGCAGAGCTGAGGGCAAGCCCTTTTGCTGAGCACCCTAGAGACTAAGAGGAGGGAAGCAGGTGGTCTAGTTTCATCCTTTAGGTCTAATTCTTAGCTGCTGCCTGTATTACCAAGGTCTAAAAGCAATGATCAAAACCTTGCTATGACTGGGAAATTGACTTGTGGAAATTCAGTTCCTTTTCCTCTTTTAACATAAGAATGAATAACTCTTGTAATTGTATTTGGAGTTATTTGAAGAAAGTTGAAAACAGAAGGTAATGAGTGAGTCCAAACCCCTTGGAGGTGTCAGATGTTCTGAAAGAGTGGTGCTCAGAAAAACAAATGCTGCTGACTTCCAAAGAGTATCGTGTACTTACACATTTTTCAAAAATTGGTGATGGTGTTTTTCCCTTTGTATGTGAAGTTAATAACAAATTCTAGTTATTAAACAGTGAGATCAGAGGCAAAACACACTCGATAAATCATTAAGTCCAACTGTTTCTTCACAAATTATCTAGTTTAAACTAACCCAATGATGAATAGCTCAGCAGTCAAATGGTTTATTGGCATTTGGGGCAGTTTTAAAAACACCAGAGCTCATAAAATGTGAAGTATATTTAATACTATAAAATAATTCAGATATAGGAATTGGATATAAATGATATAAAAAGGATGTCTGTTTGCTCAACAGACTACAAAAAGGAAATATCTGGAATCATTCTACAGTTTAAAAAACTGAGAATCTGAGAGAACTGACTTGCTCAAGCCCAAGAAGCTAGAAAGAACAGTCAGAATTTTAACCTATGTCTCCTAACTCCTAGTTCAGTATATTATCCACTAAGCTACAGTAGTACTCTCTTCAAGTAGTCTGTTACACTTACTGTGCAATCAACATACAAGAAAAGTGGCGTGAGCATGGGCTGTCAGCCATGAGCATCTACGAGAACATTCAGATTATCGGTCACTGAAACACCACTTTCTTTGTGTTCCTTCTTGACGATAACAGCATCAGAGGCTCAAGACTCAATCCAAAGGAATAGAAAACCGAACTAAATTAAGAGAAGACTTAGAGAAAACGTCACCTTAGTAAAATGCTGGCTCTCATGGGAACGTGGTTTGAACAGCCGTTGGTGAAGCAGGAACAGCAAGTTCAGTAGTGATGTTGTTTCTCAAACCTGAAGCTTTTGTTATAACCAGTAACTGAAACTTCACTGCAAGTTCCTTCCTCAAGCCTGAAAACATGAGCTAAAAACATGAAAAGGGGACAGGGAAGGACCCACAAGATACTTAGTATGAAAATACTCCTGTGTAAGTAACTAGCAACTTGGAAGTGTGACACAAGGGGAAATCCCAGTGTGCAGACGGTTTATAGCTTTGAGGCCAGAAACTTAATTTTGTCTATTCATTAGAGGCAACTCAAACTTGGAAAATAACATGAGTTTTGAGATTCATATTTTATTTACAAGCAAATGAAGAATGTCCCCTGTAAACTCTAATTTGGGATGAGAAGAGCAATGTAAGAAGTAGCTGCTGGCTCCATAGTGATGTGTGAAGGGAGTCCACCCCACTGCTTCTTTAAACAATTATTTTGTTATTAAAAAGGGGAAAAATAAGCCATGTTATTTCTTCACGTTGACTATGTGAAAGAATTCAAAAGAAAAATGACTTGTCAAAATTCTACAGTCTCTAGTCAAATGTGTGAGGTGACCAGAATGCCACTTTGATTCGGTGACAGCACCTGCTCCCTAAGAGCAATAGCCTCTGAGCAAAAGACCTAATACTCATCAAGAGTATCTGCTCGAGGAATGGAGAGACCTCGATCCTTAAGAGCCTGAACTTTGAGCTTCTCGGCTTCCAGCTTGGTCTGCTGTTCTACCCTTTGTTCTTCTAGAATTTCTTCAATAGACACTTGCTGAAGGGGTGTGTCACTCTCCTTTTCCAAGTCCTACAAAACAAGCAGGTTTGAAAAACTTCAACTGATGACCAAGAATAGAAAACATTAGATCTAAAAGCAAACTGATTCCTATGTCAGGCTTGGGTTATTTTTCGTAATTGTGATATGGCTGAAATATCCTTCTCCTGGGACAGATAAGTTTTACAAAGAAATGGCTGGCAACATTACTATGGAATATAAATGTGGTAATAGAGATCAGCAATAGTGTGTATAACAAAGCTTAAGTTTGTCTGAAGTACTACATTAGTCAAAGACTACTTTTAAAAACAAACAAAAAAATAGAGCTGCATTTATATAAATGGCTCTCTCTCCAACACCAGAGAACCCAAGAGAGAAGTTACTGAGGCTTTAGAAGGTAAGTTTTGTATTTTTACATGATCAAAGTCTGCTTAATTTCTGGGGGTTGTTGCTCAGCAAGAAGGTATAGAACACTGATTCAGACAAGCAGCCCTCTCCCTGAACGGCAGTAAACTGTCCATCTGTTGCATTAACTAGGAGCCTTTAACTGATAACACAAGGCTCCTTTCCCCTCTATGGCAATAAGACTTCTAGAGAAAACCTCAGCAGACCAGTTAGATTACTAAACCCAGTTGGTCCCAATATATTTGTTTTAATTAAAAAATTTTTGCTTACTAGAAAAAAATTTTTAAAAATTATCCATAATTCCAGATTGGAAGGATAACATTTTGGTGAATAGCCTTCCAATTTTTTCATGTATACGAGTAAATCAACTTTCAAAAAAAATCCCACAATGCAAATATTGACTTTAATTTTTTTTACTTAATGTGGCATAAGATGCTTAATATTTTTATTTTTGAACACCTATAAGCATTTGAAAACCAATCTTGTAATGAAGAACTTTGCTATAAACGTATCTCACTATATCCACAGATTCAGTTCATTCTCTTTAAAATGAACATACAGGTATTATTCTGTGTTTTTGTAACTGGAAAGCCTATACAAACAGGTTATTCTTATTTCTTATCCTCTTCTCTGACTTCCAGTGATAAAATTCTGGGAAGGCATTAACACATACACAAACTCTCCAGATGTTCCAACCTATCACTGGATTCTAATCTTCTTCATATGCTTTCAAGGCCTTAGAACCCACAGGCTATGACGTATGAGATAGAGGACTCTCACCAGAGGTTAGAATGAAAGCCACAGAAGTTACATAAGCAGATCCTGCCCTGTGTCAAATGTTAACTGCCCCTGGCAAAATCTGTTATTAAGTGTAACCTGCCCTCACAATTCATGGGCGGCAGCTGATGGGAAGATCATGTTCTTAGCTTAGTGTGTTGCCTCTTGGACTTTTCAGTATATTACTCATTGAGCTACTCATGTGGTTCTAATAATGCTACTACCCAACAATCAGTTCTGTTACTGAAGGCTGTGTGCCTCACCATCCTTGGAGCAGAATCCAGAAACTTCTTAGGCAATGGGATGTTTACAGAATCTAGATGGTTTCTGGGTTTGAGTTTCGTTAGGGTTGGCACTTAGTTTCTTCAAACTGACTGATTCATGTAACTATGTAAGCATTCTCGAATGATATTTCTTTAGTATCACTGTAAAAACTTTTCAGCATCCAAACCATAATATATAAAAAAGAGCACTATTCTAAGGGCTCCCAGGAAACCATGAATCTTCAAGAACAAACACAAGTTCACTTCTCACATACACATCTACAAAGGGCACATCTGTGCCAATGTAACTGGCACAGAAAGCATTTCTGTGCTCACTACTGTAAAAATGAAGCAGCATGTGTAAATATTTTAACTTAAAATCTTTACCCCTGATAGCAAAGCAATATGTTTCCTCTTTAAAAATTAAATTCAGGAAAGTATCAAAAAAAGAAAAATAATCACCCATCATTCTGTTGTCCAGAGATGGGATAGCTCCTCTTACAATACACTAGCAGACCAGTTCAGTCATTTACTGTGCCCTTCCCTCACTACTCTTGGGTAGTATAGTGCTTTATTTCAACTTTTATGTAAAACAAGGAGGTGATGATTTCTGCTGCATAAACATGTATGAAATGATACACTGAACCAAAACTATCAACTACAAAAATATTTTAAAAACTAGAAAAAGGTATTTCATGTAATTCACAGTAGCACTTGGGGCAGTATTGATTAGTCATTTCTAGCTGTTTCAACGTGAGGTCTCTGAAACCACCTGACCCTGGCAGAATTACCTCCTTTCTTTTTCAAATGGCTTGTTATTAAAAATATCTATGGACCAAACCACTCCAATCAATAGACTTCTGAAAACCTGATTTAAGATGTGGCTAGGTACTGGGAAACTTTAAAAACAAAATATGAAAAGACAAAATGAAGCAAACGTTAAAGCTTATTTTGATTTTTCTAGCAAACCCAATAAATCAGAAGCAGCAAGATCAAGTCAAAGGTTTTAAATAAGGTGTTTTTCTTTTTAAATAAATGTTTTATGTAAAACATGAAATCAGGTTTATCTTCTTTTAAATATGTCTGTGTACTTCTCATAGCTTTATATATGTAACAGTTTTCTAATTGTTTTATATGTATATATGCATACGTGTGTATGTGTATGTACGTACGTACACACGTACACACACACACACACACGCAGTAACAACGCTTTAGAAGATTTAAGTTTTCACCTGCCATCTGGTCTTCCTGGCACAGACACATAGGGATCTCCTTCTTGGTTGTGAGCTAAGGATTCAAGTGAAGCTGAGCTCCATTATCAGGATAGTTCACAGAAAGGCTTCTCCAACAGCCATTTTCTCTTTCCCCCTTTGAAAACATAGATAGCACATCGCATACGCAATGTGTCTTTTCCCTCAAACACTGCTAATTAACTTTTTATCATGAAAAACTTGTAACCAATTGCATAAATGAGTGCAGAATATTCCTATATGAATTTTACTTTACTGAATTATTTTTCTCAAGTTTTTCAATATTCTGCTATTAGAGATAGCAGAAATAATATAAACACATTTGTTTAGGATGGTATTTTTTAAGGTATCAGGTAAAATCAAAATTTTGCTGCTAATTGATAGGATCAAATCTTTAAAATGCCAAAAGGCACTGAAACAAAGTTAATTATTTTCTGTAACTTTCCTTTTACAACTGTGGCTTTCCAAGTTAACTTGGTAGTTCCCTGTGAAAAGCTGGGTGAAATGAAGAAAATGTATTTTTTCCTTCTTGAAAAGACAAAGAGAAAACTAACTAGCACGATTATCAAGACCCATAGCAGCTTAACAGTTTTCACTTACTATTTCTCCTAGTAGGACCACATTTTCTCCTCTGACCACAAAAATCCCTCGAGGAATATCACCGTATTTTTTGCCCACATGAATACGCTCCACAGTCTGATGTAGCACTAAATTAGCTATAAGTATATAGGGAAGAAACAAAGATATTTAGTTCAAATTATTGGGTAACGTCCATAACTCAATTAATCAGTTATTTTAAGTAGAAAAGATTCAACTAAACGTGATTTCTAAACTTTCTAATTCTGGGAAAAGCTCAAATTTCAAATAACCTTCTCCTATTTCATTAAGACACACCACTTAGGAAACTTCCTAACAACTGGAAACAAGAGAGTGTTTGGGATTAGAGTGCATTAATATATGAATGATGGTGGGAAAAAAGTTAAGGAAAATTAAATTCATTTATCATTAATTGCTAATATCAACATGACTATAAGAAAATATAAATGAGTAGGGCACTTAGAAAACTGAACAAATGCAGAGATTAAAACTGTTGTTTTAAGAAGGAAACAGTTTTTCTATGTTTTGTGGGTATGTGTATCTGATGATTTACCAAAGATTTAACTTTTAGTACTTAGGATTCATTTAATACCATACAGGTGTCCATGAATTATGATAGTGCAAAAACCTATTTTTTCACTTTGTCAGATAAGCATACCTAGTAATCTGAGAGTAAAGCCATATTTACTGTTCCCTCAAAGAGTTTGATGAATTTGTCTTAAGATTTAGAAATCCAATCTGTTAAGAATTATTTTTGTTCTTTCAATTGGTACCATTGTTCTTACCTGAAAAACAAGCAGATTATCTATGCTCCTATCTTCTATAACTCTTATAGGTGTTTCAATTATGTGGTTTTTCCTCCTGCCTAAATCCACTGACCTAAAAGGTGTCCACCATATGTTGATATGAACTGAGAAGTTTCTTGAAACAGAAGCAAATAGAGATCTCTTCAGAAAAACACAGGAGCAAAACAAAAGACAGAGACTCTTGAGTCTGATGCATTCCTAAGTGTAAAATCTTGAGCTTAATGTTGGGGTCCCTAAAAACCTTCAGGAAATGCCTTCTATCCAATTTTCATTGGACAGGGAGGGATCACCTTCAGTGCAGGAACTGCTCCGAAGAGTAGCTGCACCCAAGCCAATGTACAAATGAGCAGCTTTTTCACTGGACTGAGTTTATTTCTATCAATTGGTTCCTCTAATGGGGAAAATAAAAAAAATAGTCCAAAACGTAATTATCTTTTTTCAGGAGAACCAGTTTTAGAAATACAAGCTTTTGAACAATCTAATCATAATTTAGGAAACAATGATGTAATGACTCAAAACAGTATTCCACTATGCCAGACACGTGAAAAAGTTGCAGATAAACAAATTTCAATATGAAATAACACAAAAATACAATGGGCAACTCTTATTATCTAGAGTATAAGAGCAGTCCATAACTAATACATACCAAACTGATCAATGCTTCTCAAAAAGCCTATAAGCGTCCTTCCATCTCGAAGAAGGACCAAGTGCTTTTCTGGGGACAGGAAAAAAGATCTTTAAAAAAATGAAAACTGTTAGCTTCAGTGAGTTTACAGGGTAACAACAAAAATAAAGTTAACAGCAGTTTAACTCTACCACTTCCTCTTCCAGTGTTTTTAAGGTGGAGTTCATTGGGAAATCAGAAGGAGGACCAAGATAGCCTGAGGTTTAGGTTAGAAGATTAGTGGTGAAAAAAAATCACAGTAGTGTGGCAAAGTGGAAAAAGGGCTGGGTGAGTAGTCAGGAAGACTGATTGGCTCTAGATGCTGATGTTTGACAGTTAAACCCCCTCAGTGTCATGTCAGTTTCTATATCTGCAAATTGAGAAATTTAGTCTGGATGATTTTTACGATCTTAATGCTAGACTTGTGTTCCCCTCAACTTAGAAGAGCTTCTATTTCACACATTGGAATCAGGGAAGGTTTTAAATTAAAAACGATACCTCAGACATGTAAAATGAGGATGCTGATAATAAGCTAGAGCAAAAATTCAATAGTATTTATTGAGAGCTATGTGCTGTTCTGGAGCCTATATATACAGTAGAGAATAAAACTCAGAAAGTCACCAACCTTATGAACTTATATTCTTGGTTGAGGAAGGGAAACAAATAAAAAAAAGGACCTACTGTGATTAGTACCATGGAATAATAAGTTAGATAATAGGATAGCAGGAAGAAAAGGGAAGTAGCTACAGAAGAGAGGGTGGCTAGGGAAAACCTCTCTGAAGAGGTGACTTTGAGCTGACTCTGAAGAATGAGAATAAGCCAGTCACTAGAAAAACTAGCAAAGTTCATTCCTTTGTTTCTTTATTACCACACAAAAAATACTTTCTAGATGCAGAACAGAGGAACAAGACAGTGATTCTTCCCTGAAGGAATTTATAATTTTCCTTGGGCTATGTAATTACCACAAGAAAGCATATCTTAATTATATGAGACAAAGAGAAACTAGCTGGAGGCTGTATGTGAGTTGGTCCTTGAAAGTTAGATAATTTCTGGCCACTGGAAGAGTGACAGAAAGGGGTCAGGTTAGGGATATCTGCAATTTAGACAGGAGGAAAAAAAGGGCTATGTATCCATGTTTGGTGAAACGTTGAGAGTGTGGAGGGAAATAACAGGAAAGAAGTCAGAAAAAAGGACTGGGAGCAGGTTGAGTTTGGGCTTGACTTTATAGGGAACAAGGAAACATTGAAGACTGAACCGGCAAAAAAGGAAGAGCAGGTGAGGCTATTCCCAGAGTCTTAAACATGGAGAGACCTGAACCAAGGTACAGACGAGAAGGGAGAGGATGAGAGTACTAACTGTGCAGTTTAAAGTAATGGGATTTGTCAACTAATTGAGTTTGTGTATGTGGGTAGGTGTGAGAGAATGGGGTGCTAAAGAAATAAGTTAAAGAAGATGTAAGAATTTTGAATCATCATGTCAGGGAGGACCACTTATCAAAAGTTGGGAGTAAACAAAGCAAGCTCAGGGTGAAAGATTATTAGCTGTTTGTAATTCAGAAGTGCTCTCAGGACACTTAGGTAGAAATGTCAACAGACAATTGGAAATGTAAGGTTGGAATGCTAAAGAGGTCAGAATTAGAGAGAGCAATTTTGGATAAGGCCACAAAGACGTGATATAATTATTAAAGTCCAGGATATCTCCTAGAGATTTAATGAAAGAAGCAGGCCAAACATGGAAACTAAAAGACCATCTATTTTAGGGAACAGTAAGAGCGGGAGACATAAGAAAATCAGCAAGTACTTTTGAGAAATCAAGGGTACAGAATTAAGAATCCAGTGGAAGTAGTAGCACATTACTACAGAGGAGAGGGGAAGGCTCAGAAGAGTGCACTAGACCGTTGCCTTTTAAGAATGCAGCTTCAGGGCCAGCTGAGTGGCACGTTGGTTAAGAGTTGGCTTGGGAGTGTGAGCTCTGAGCAGCAGGGCCCCAGTTCAGATCCCACATGAGGGCCAGTGACACTGCCCTCTAAAGCTAAGATGGTTAACAACAGCTCGACCTGGAGCTGGGATGCCGTGAGTTGCTGGCAATGGCGTAGGCTGAAGTGGGGCTGGCTGGCAGCTGGCATGAGCTTTCGTGAACTGCTGTGAGCCATGGTGAGCGGCCATCCAATGGCTAGCGAGCGACTGCCTCACCCGGGAAGAGCGCAATGATAATACCAACAAGGGCCAGTGAAGCAACGTCCTCCACAACTAGGCTGCAGAACAAAAGGACAGCAACTTGTCTGTTCCCCTTCCCTGATTCCCCAACGCTGTTCCCCTCCCCCAATTCCCCAATAAAATCTTTAAAAAGATAAATAAATAAAAGAAAGCCGCTTCAGTAGTGTGTGGACACCAAAAATCAAATTGCAGGTGGTTTATTGCAGGTAGTCAGGAAGAGTCAAAATGGAGATGATTCAAAAGGGTTTGGGTGTAAAGATGAAAAAAGGAATGGGAGTTTGATTGAGGAGACACAACTGAAAAAAAAAATTGAGATGGACAAAAACATATGAAAGAAAAGATCCAGGGGGAGAGAGAAAGAGAGAAGGTATGAGAGAAAAAGGATGCTAGTAGCAGAAGGTTCCAGAAGCAGTGGGAGGAAAGAGTAATAAAAGACAAACTGAAAGGGAGGAATACTTCCTACTCAATGAAGATGGGTGAAAATACAGAAAGACTGAGGAGGAAAGTGTGTGTGTGGGGGGCAGTGAAAGGTGCATATGAAATGGTTTCGAACTTTTCAGTAAAGGAGGGGGCATGAAATCTGTATACAAACAAGAGGTCAGAAGACTTAAGAACAAAATTTATTTATAATAAAATGACAGGATGTGTTAAGGCCTCAAATAATTCAGATACATAACAAAAGAGGTGAGGACAAAACGGCATCCCTCAGACAACTAAAACTTAAGATTTCATTACACATTAGAGGTAGACTTGTATAGTGGTTATTTATATGAATTTGGTCCAATTACACTATATTTCCCTTTAATAGCAAAATCACTGATTTGGACTTCAACAATAAAAAGAAGAGTTTAATTACACACTCACTCTAATTTGTATACATAGTAACTGCAGAGATTGTTATAACTTGTTTGGAACTGTGTGTAAACCATTTTGCAGCAATTACAAGTTAATGAGACAGATCACACGATTAAAAAATTTGCAAAAATGTTGCTTGAGGAATAATTCACAGATGAGAGCTTGGCAAAAGAAAAAGACTATAAGTGGCTCCTCTTTCGTACAGAACTGAGTTCCTCTTCAGGATAATGATTAGGAATAAGGGAGGTCTTCTTAAAAGCAAAAGAAAATTGTCTAACAGAAAAAAAAAGTTTGAAGTGACTCTGCCTTTTCAGGAAAGTCCATACCTTGTCTGGCAGTAATCTCTGCTACCATAACCTGAAAGTACTAAAGGCCTTTAGGGTAAAAGAATATTGCAAATGACTACACAGCATAAAGCCTATGTTTACTGCCAGTAGGTCCAAATACTGTTGTCTTAATATTTTCATTTTTTGATGAATCCTTTAAGCATTCTCATCCATTCACCAGTAACAACCTGGTATTTCAGTCATGTCCCTGGGAAGCAGGACTGAATTCTATAGCTGTGGCTGACGAGCTAGCTGGTGAAGAACTGGTGGAGGCTGCGTGGGGCAGGATAGAGGTAATAAAGATACTAGACTAGGAGGCAGGCAAAGGGTGTCTCGTGGCTCATCCATCCCGTGGAGGATGTCAACGCCAAACATTCACACTTGTGCTCAAATCACCCCGCCCCCCGCCCCAGGCTCATTCTACAAGCTTCTTCAAGAGGCACCCATCGGGGAGGAGGGGTTTCACCCTAGACTTCACCCAAAGGAGATGAATTAACTCACTGTCGATATCCTCGATGAGGCTGGCGGTGCCTGGCATATAGTTCATTTTGAGCTGAGATAAGGCTGCAATATATAGCTGCGGTGGGCCACCGTGTCCAACACCTCCTTCCTCCTACCGCAGTCACTACCTCGGCGGAACCGGGACAAGAACCTGGACCAGTACCAGCACGCCCGCCCCGGCTTTCACCGCCGGGGCCTGCCGGAAACTCCTCCATATTATCCCCACCCACTTCCGGTACCACGTGCCAGTCTTCAGGAAGAGGCGGGACCGTAGTGCAGCCTGGGGACACACTTTCCGCATCTGATGAGAGGGGAAAGGGAATCTATATTTGGTAGATGGTGGGAAAATGTTTTCTCCCTTTCAAGGAACACGGTGTCACCTCTCGTTTTCCTGCTTCCTAGACCCCAGAGTCACGGACCTCCGCCCCTCAACTCCCTGGCCTCGGCCGCCGAAGGGGCGGGACAAGGCCTGGGATTGGCTGTGGTAAGCCAACCCTCTTCATTGTTGTCCATTCCCTGTCGCTGGCAGGGGCCTGCGCAGTGAGCCGACCGTGGGGGGCGGGAAGCGCTTCGGGGCTGTGGTGCCCATGTCGGCCTTAAGGCGCTCGGGCTACGGCCCCAGTGACGGTCCGTCTTATGGCCGCTATTATGGGCCTGGGGGTGGAGATATGCCCGTGCACCCACCTCCACCCTTATATCCTCCTCGCTCTGAACCTCCTCAGCCTCCCATTTCCTGGCGGGTGCGCGGGGGCGGCCCTGCTGAGACCACCTGGCCAGGAGAAGGCGGAGGAGGCGATGGCTACTATCCCTCTGGAGGCCCCTGGACGGAGCCGGGTCGAGCTGGAGGAAGCCACCAGGTAAGCTTTGCGCCCTCTGTCCCAGGAGATTCTGGTAGGGGGTTCTTTGGGGGTGAGGGCCATTGGGATTAGTATACCCCCAGAGTTCGTATTGGATCGGGTTTCATATTTGTTTTCCTTGTGAGGGGTTTGTAGATATGACTGGGATCGTGGGTGGGGAGATATGCTTGTGTTCTCTTCGCCCCTGCTTTTCTGCTTCAACCATAATAAATGTCTATTACCATTAAAAAAGAAAAAAAGATCCTGCTCTGATTTGCTAAGCTAAGTAGAGGATGCGGAATCTCTCGCCTGGGAACGATGTTGGGCTGAAGTGACCCGGCTCTGCTTTTTGAGCTCTAGCAATTTATCCTGCGTGGCTCGTCAGGCGTTCTCTCCCCACGAGAAGGGAGGTGGCTGCAGCCCCCGCCGTCATTCAGCAACCCCTTCCGCGGGGAAGGAATTTAGGAAGGGGAGTGGGAGGAATGTGGGCATTTAGCCCTTTGCCCCTAATGCTTTGCCTGGGATTGACCCAACGAATAAACAATGTTGGAAAGCACTTTTACGTGGATTGTTTTATTTAATCTTCGCGGCGACTGCAACATAAATGTCGTTACAGCGACCCTATTAAAGAACTGTTGACTCTGAGAGGTTAACTCAACTTGCTCAATATACTCGGACCTAAACGTTTCTTGTATTCTTGCCAGAAATATACAGTACTTCTGTTTTGTTAATGCAGTATTTTTCATAGAGAATTATTATACAATAAGGGGCACATCTTTCGTTCAGAAATTATAACGTCCTCATTGTTTGAAAATGTAATAATGAAATTCTCATACATTGCTGGTGAGAATGTAAAATGGTTCAGTGTTTTGTAAAATAGTTTGTCAGTTCCTCAAAACATTAAGCATAGAGTTAGTATATTACTCAGCAAGTCTGCTCTTAGATATACCGGGGGTGCCAAAAAAAATGTATACACGTTTTTAAGAGATGCTATCTGTGCTCAAGCAGTAGTTCGCGGTAATCAGAAGTGTCTGGATGCTGATGGTAACCACTTTGATCACCTCTTGTAATTAGTTGCAGAAGACAAATGCGACTTGTATTCATGTTTTGTTATTGGTATATATTGAGTATTAAAATTAATACCGTTTTTTCCTTTCTTAAAGTGTGTATACATTCTTTTGGAACCCTCTGTATACCCAAGAGAATTGAAAACATATGTCTACTAAAAACTTGTATACGCATATTCATAGCAGTGTTATTCATAATAGCCAAAAAGTGGAAATAACCCAAATATCCATCAACTGATGAATAGGTAAAATATGGAATATTCATACAATGAAATTATGTAGCCATAGAAAGGAATGAAGCATGGTACATACATTCTACAACATGGATGAACCTTGAAAACATCATGGTATGTGAACAAAGCCACACAGATAGACTGCATATTGTATGATTTCATTTATATGAAATGTCCAGAAAGAGCAAATCTATAGAGACAGATTAGTGCTTGCCAGGGACTGGGGGACTGGGGACATTGGGAATGATAGAGTATGGGGTTTCTTTTTGGGATTATGAAAATATTCTGGAATTAGATAGTGATGATGATTATACAACTTTGAATATACTAAAAACCATTGAATTGTACACTTTAAAAGGGTAGGTTTTATGTTATGTTATTTATATCTTTAAAAAATTGTATGAGAAAAAAACATGTAGTACTGAGAGGTTAATTATGAAGAGAGGTCCATATTTTATGTCTAAATCTGGAATAATTAGCCTGTGGGACTTTAATTCCGTGGTATATTAGAGTGATGAACTGGCCAATAAGTAGGCAAATTAGACTGAACATCAAGGGGAAAGAGGAGAGTACCACTAAACTGATGACTTCTACTTGGGCTTGCTGTATTATCAACACAAAAGTGTGTTTTCAGCGTGAGGTTAGAAAAGTTAAGATTTTAGTATTGTGTAGGTAGTTATAAGGTATGGTTGGAGCATAGCATGTACATAGGGTGCGTGATGGTGCTGGAGTAGTTAGAGATAAAGCTAGGATGTATAATGGACATTTGTAAACCATTTCAAGAGTTTATGTTTCAGATTGATGTTTCTGAAACTTGAAAAATATAGGATTGTAATTTATGCAGCCATAGAAAATTAATACAAAAGATATGCATGTTGCATATGTTTTTTTTCCAAATTCGTTTGCTTTTTAATTTTATTGTGGTTTTGATATATGTTTTACATTTTTTACATAATCAAATGTCAAACAAACAAACAAACAAAAGGTATAGGAGTCTTTTAAAACCGTACTACTCAAAGTGTGGTCCTTTGACCAGAAGCTTTGGTGTTGCTTGGAGGTTGTTAGAAATGGAGAATCTCCTGCTCCAGACTTACTGCTGCATTTTAATAAAAGCCCCGGGCAATTTGTTTGCGTGCTCCTGTTTGAGAAGCGCTGCTCTATAGTCTTGAATGTATTGAGATGACGTTGCAGTGAACCACGACGAAGCCTTGACTCTTTATTTTTACATATTTAAATATGGCAGGGGAAAATATAGAAATCTACCTCTCCCTGTTTTCTTTTTTTTAAAGGTTTTTTTAAATTGGGGTATTGGGGGGATGGGAACAGCGCTGGGGAATTGGGGGAAGGGGAACAGACAAGTTGCTGTCGTTTTGTTCTTCAGCCTAGTTGTGGAGGACGTTGCTTCACTGGCCCAAGTTGGCACCATCATTGCGCTCTTCCCGGGCGAAGCCGACCAGTCGCTGGCTTCTGGACGGCTGCTCACTGCGGCTGCTGGCCGCTCACGCTGGTTGCTGGCTACACATGGTAGCCCATGGCAACCCACTGCCATAGGGGCTGCAGCCTACGCCATCACTGGTGACTCAGGGCAGCCCAGCTCCAGGTTGACCTGTTGTTCAGCATCTTAGCTGTGGAGGGCAGTGTCACTGGCCCTCACATGTGGGATCCGAACCAGGGCCCTCTGGCGTCCAAGGCAGCTCTCAACCATTGCGCCACTCGGCCGGCCCTGTTTTCTATTTTTTTTTACTTGGTTAGCTATACTTGCAGAACTGTAGTTTGATCCCTGAACTAGCAGCATCTGCATTACCTAGGAGCTTGTTGGAAATGCTGTATCTCAGGCCCTGCCCAGACTTACCGAATAAAAATGTGCATTTTACCAAGATCTGTGGGTGATTTACATTTTCTTCCAGCAGTGGAAGACACTGATTGGATTATAATCTAATCTCGGAAGTGATAATACCATCATATTGGTCATAGAGACCAACACTGGTACAATGGGAGAGGCAAGATACAAAGTTCACAAGGGTGTGAATACCAGGAGGCAGGGATCATTGGGAGCCATCTTGGAGGAGGATTACAATGACAAGGAATGGGGAAACAAAGCTCACTTAGGCTCCCAGAGTAGTTCAGAAGAGAGGTAAAAGGGCATGTGTTCGAACATTGTCTGAATGTAGATAGGTTTTTTTCAACATTTTATCGTAAACATTTTCAAAAAGAAAAGTTGAAAGAATTGTACAGTGAATACCCATATATCCACCATCTATTGTAGATTCTGTAATTAACATTTATTAAATTTGCTTTATCACATCTCTTATTTTTTGGATGCATTTCAAAACAACTTGCATAGATTTGAAAGACATTTTCAAAAGTATATATCAAGGGCTGGCTGAGTGGTGCATTGATTAAGAGGGGCTTGGGATGCCAGAGGGCCCCGATTCGGATCCCACATATAAGGGCCAGTGACACTGCCCTCTACAGCTAAGATGCTGAACAATAGCTCAACCTGGAGCTGGGCTGCCATGAGTCGCCGTCGGCATAGGCGGCAACCCCTGCTGCAGTGGGTTGCCATGGGCTACCATGTGTAGCCAGCAACCAGCGTGAGCGGCCAGCAGCCGCAGTGAGCGGCCGTCCAGAAGCCGGCGACTGATCTGCCTCACCCGGGAAGAGCGCAATGATGGTGCCAACTTGGGCCAGTGAAGCAATGTCCTCTACAACTAGACTGAAGAACAAAACGACAGCAACTTGTCTGTTCCTCTTCCTCCAATTCCCCAGCGCTGTTCCCATCCCCCAATCCCCCAATAAAAATCTTAAAAAAAAAAAGTGTATATCAATTGGAAGTGAAGGAAAAACAAAAAGTGATTCTGAGGTTTTAGTATTTCATAGGATTAACAAGGAAGAGGAATAGGTTTTCATGGTTTAATTTTGTACCAAAAGAACTAGATGGTCAGCCAAGTGGCACGTTGGTTAAGAGCTGGCTTGGGACCCCACATTAGGGCCAGTGATGCTGCGCCCTTTACAACTAAGGTGGTGAACAACAGCTCGACCTGGAGCTGGGCTGCCATGAGTCGCCGGCAATGGTGTAGGCTGCAGCCCCTGCTGCAGTGAGCTGCCGTAAAACTACCATGAGTGACTGGCAGCCGGTGTGAGCTGTCAAGACCCTCTGTATGCGGCCATCCAGTGGCTGGCGACCGATCTGCCTCACCTGGGAGGAGCGCAATGGTAATACCAGTGTGGGCCAGTGAAGCGATGTCCTCCACAACTAGACCGAAGAACAAAAGGACAGCAACTTGTCTGTCCCCCTTCCCCGATTCCCCAACGCTGTTCCCCTCCCCCAATTCCCCAATAAAATCTTAAAAAAAAAAGAACTAGTGAGTGTCAGTAAAGGAGCTTAAAAAATATGAAATACCAAGACTTGGCAAGGGTTTAAGCACTTACTTTATTTCATTTCTGCTGGAAGCCAGTTAATCACTGTGGTTAGTCATGTGCCAAGCTTTGCATGCAATGTATGCGAATGCTTAAAGAGAAATTTGTGATTTTTCTGATTTTTTTTTTATGTCAAATTTTGGAGTTTTGTGGCATTCAGGAGTTGTCTGTGGGAACAAAACAATAGATGTGGGGGGGGGGCTCTGGAGGAAGATGGGGGCTGGAGATAACGGGTTGAGAGACATCAAATATAACTGAATTACCGAACTGGGTAATGTTACCGGGGAGATCTTTGAAAGCC